GACTGTTTAATTAAAACAAAGCATTGCGATGGTCCCAACGGATGTTGACGCAATGTGATTTCTGCCCAGTTGTCCTCTTCTCTCTCTCTGCCTACGGTTTTACCGGGCAGTTCTGTTTGTGACGATATATATATATATATAGTCGGTGAAACTCCGACGAAACAGTTTGTCACAGCCCCTCGTTTGTTGTCCTCTTCTCCCTCTCTGCCTACGGTTTACCGGGCAGTTCTATTTGACGATATATATATATATATATATATATTTGACGATATATCGTCAAATATATATATATATACCTAGATGATGGATAGACTCTGACCACAGTCTTTCATTGATGATGATTGATCGATTGGTTGATGGACTGCTTGCTTTCCTTGATCTATGATCGAACGGTTGATGCACACTTAAAAAGCTAGCTCTGTCGTTTACCAATCTCCCGCTGCTGTCTCTCATTTCATCCTGATCTGTGGGAGATGGGGGCGTTCGGGTTGTCCTGAAGAGAGAGCGTTATCTATAGTAGATGGTACGCAACGGCATTGCTTCCGTCAATTTCCGTCCCTTCTTCCCCATCGAACGGCGGATCGTCATATCTGTATCTCGTCGGAGAAGGGGCCAGATACCGTTGTGACGACCCCGCGCTCTGTTAGTGGGAAGATGTCAGCTAGTCAGTTCTTGCTGTAATCCAACCACTAACATAACATGCAGTCGTCCAACCATATCTGTATCTGGTCGGAAAAAAGGGCCAGATACCGCTATGATAAGATGACCCCGCGTTTCTGAACTGCTGCTGGCTCTGTCCTGTCTTCTCTCGTGTAATGCGGAACGGCGGCCGTCATGTGCACAGGTGATTGATCTCATCCATTTTTATTATTATTATTTTTAAGAAAACATCCACTGGGGAACCCCTGCTGCAGACGGGGATAAGAGCCCAGCCCTGTTAATCACATCCGACAACACTCGAGGTCAGCAACATCGCTTTTTTCTTTCCMCCTGGTAAAGCTTTTTTTTTTTTTTGTTCACCTGATTCATCTTCGATTTAATTAATCCCTGGACTAAATTTGATTAGATGATTAGACTCGGTCGTTGGACTCTTCACATGATGGTTTCAATGCCCTTCTTCCCCATCGAACGACGGATCATCATATCTGTATCTGGTAAAAAAAGGGTCCAGATACCGACCGGTTTCACGTGATCGTTTCAGTGCTGCTCTCGTTTTCATGTGCGCAGCATTTCTCTCTGTTAGGGTCGTGTATTGCGATTGCCTCTGAATCTGATTCCGGCTGAGCTCTTTAAAGCACTGCGTGCCCGCGGACCCTTGTGGCTGAATGACATACACTTGTAACTCTTCTTGAAGTTAAGTAGACATATTATGCTCGAATTCTGACAGAATCGTAGGAAATCAATAAAGCTCTTGAGTCATAGGCGAGGTACACAATCAATCACTCGGCCCCTGAATTGCCAGCCAGCCTGGGTTTTGGCCTGAAGCAATGGCATATAGAATCTTTGTGAGCAAGTACCTCCACAATTTTGGGAACCTTATTTGTTTTGTTCTCTGTGTGAATGTCCGTCTTCGTCTGCTCACCTACCTTCTTTGTGACTTATCTGATGTCCCACTTGCAAGGTGCCAGTCATCTGGGGCGGGTCCCACTTGCAAGGTGCCACCCATCTGGGGCGAGGTCTCATTTGCAAGGT